AAAAAAAGTGTGTGTCGGGTATATCCTCTCACCATACTTATTCAGTCTGCATGCTGAGCAAATAACGGGAGAAGCTGGATTATATGAGAGATGGGATGGGAGGAAGGCTTACTATGTGGCACACAGATGACACAACCTTGCTTGCTGAAAGTAAAACGCATTTGCTGATGAAGATCAAAGGATTTCAGCCTTCAGTATGGATTAGAACTCAATGTTAAGAAGACAAAAAACACACCCAAAAAACCTCCACAACTGGAACAATGGGTAACATCATGATATATGGAGAAAAGATTTCCTGAATCTGCAATCAATGCTCATGGAAGCAGCGGTCAGAAGATCAAAAGTTGTATTAGGTAAACCTGCTACAAAACCTCCTGAGAGTGTTGCAAAGCAAGGCTGTTACTCTGAGGACTAAGGCGCACCTAACCCAAGCCACGTAATTGCCTCATAGGCATGTGAAAACTGCATTTGGAATAAAGAAGACCGAAGAAGAATCAATGCTTTTGAATTGTGATGCAGGCAAAGAAAATGTAAAGAAACATGGATTGCCAAAAGAGTAAACAAATCTGCTTTAGAAGAAGTAAGACCCAACGTGCTCCTCTCACACACTTTGGACATGTGTCAGGAGAGTCCAGACCCTCGAGAAGGACATTATGCTTGGTAAATAGAGGCCGCAAAAAAAGAGGAAGCCCCTCAGTGAGATGGATTGACATAGTGGCTCAGGACCAGAACAGTTAGGGAGATGGAGCAGGACTGGGCCGTGTTTTGTTCTGTTGTGCACAGGTTCGCTCCGGATAGGAACTGACTAGATGGCACCTAACAACATCGGCATGCGGTTATTTTGCTTTCCTCTTGTAATTCAATGGAAAGTGGACTCTATTTTCAATAAACTACTGAAAAAATGTGGACAGATACATAGAAAACTAACCTGGATCCTTACTTCCTAAATAAAAATTAATTCAAAATGGATCATGAACCTAAATGAGCAAGTTAAAACGGGAGATTTTAGAAGAAAATATGCAAAAATATCTTCCTAACATTGAGTGAGGAAAAAAATTTCTTGAAGGGATACAAAAGTCACAACCTATTTTCTAACATGAAAAAAAGAGATTAATTGATAGATTGGATTTAAAGTTCCATTCATCAAAAGAGTATTAAGAAAGTGGCAAGTCAAAAACAAAGTGACAAGTCAAGTTACAAACTGAAATAAAATACCAAGAATATATTAAGAGGGCCTACAAATCTGTGATAAAATTACAAATAACCCAATTTTTTTAATTGGGCAAATTATATAAAGACTTCACACAAAAGCCAGACAAAATTACCAATAAGCACAAGAAAAAGCATTCGCTGTCATTAGCAATAGGGCACTTTAAAAGGACATTGTATCCCCCGCTGATGCACAGCGGACTTGATCTGGTTTTCAACATTCTTTGTAATTTTGTTGTGTTTTGCTTTGTTTTCTGTTTGTTCATATTAGGATTTATAGCAGAGGTGCTATGTCTTGAAGCTGTGTTACATATTTTTCTGGTTTTCAGCATATGAAACCCAGAACTGTTGAACCTATAGGGACAGCAAGTAGAAGGATTTCTGGGCGTGGTGGGGGTGTTCAAAATCACTTAGCTTCATATGTGAAAAAGGAAAGTGAACGCGCTTAAACTGGAGCTGTGTGCATTTTATTCTGTGTAAATTAATTCTCAGTTAAGTACTGTTAACAAAATACTGGCATACTTCTTTCAAATGTGAAAGCAAGTACCTGAAGGAACTCTCAAAACGTTTTTTAAGTGGTTGTTATTGTACTGCATAATCAACTCTTTAGTACTGGTTAATGTTGTACATATTGACAAAAAGTTCAACCCACTATGCTACCAGAGCTCCCGTATATTTATAATAAAAATTAAAATTATGTTAGAAAATTACCTCCCGCAAATAGTTGTAAGGCAATGCCATTCATCAGCTGACAGTATATGTTCGTGTCATGATATGACATGAAGGAAAAGAAGGAGGGAATGGATTCGAGAGCCCTAGTGCGTCCTGCCCTTTAAGATTCCTGCCTGCATTCCCCTTTGGTACTTACCAGCTAAAGAAGTTTCACATAAAACATTTTCCAAGGAGCTGTGTCTGCCCTGGCTAGCTTCTTTGAGCTTGTCTGGGTGGTCTTTCGTAACATATTCCTCACCCCATTCTTTACCATCCTTAGGCTGCCTCCACACACCAGATGGGAGATGGCTCTTGGATTGGATATCAGATGAAATGCAAGACTTGAGGTTTTCTTCTGCTTCCGGAGTTGTCTGGTTCACTCCTGAAAAACAGCAACTGCCAGTGTTAGGTAGCTAGAGGCAGAACTAGGGGCTGTCCCTCTACGTGCCAAAGTCTCCCTGCCCCCTGACAGGAAGTTGGAAGCTGCTTGAGGCTAGAGGGCAGCTCACATTCGGGTCTTTGAGACCGGAAGTCAGTATACCTGGGTGGGACCCCATCCAGGCCAGGTGGGCTTAATTCAGCCAATGGGGTTAACCAGCATCGTTGACCACACCGCCCAATGGGGGTTGGGGGCCTGAAAAAGTCAGAAACTTAGAGACCTCACTCTCTCCCAGCAGCTCAGACACAGCCCAGTGAGGGCGGGCCACTGTGCCACGGACATGCGCGCTCTCTCTCTGACTTGTGTTCCGTTTACTCTAATGCCTGAAATTTCTTCTATCCTTTATAAAACTCACTTGGATCACAAACCAGGCTTCAGCATGAATTCTTTCTCGTGCGAAGCCAAGGACCGAGGTATTTCTCCCACGAGAGACCTAACACTATCAAGAGCTGACTTTTGGAGGGGAATTTTGTTACCAAATCTTTACTCTTATGTATGTGCCTGTTTGGGTACAGCTGTCCATTAAAGGTTTTCCCAAATATCTCTAGTAAGCATTAACTGTTTGCATAGCTAAGGGTAGTGGAGTATATTATCAGGTGAAGAGGACTTGAAGCACTCGCTGACAATCAAGGATTGCAGCCTTCAGTAGAGATTACAAATCAATGTAAAAAAAGACCCAAATCCTCTCAGACCAACTAAACATCGTGCTAAATGGAGCAAAGATTGAAAGTCTAAAGAATTGTGTCTTGCTTGGATCTACAACCACTGCTCATGGAAGCAGCGGCCAAGATATTAAATGACACGCTGCATTGGGTGAATCTGCTGCACACGATCTCTTTAGAGGGTTGAAAAGCAAGGATGTTTCTGTGAGGACCAAGCTGCACCTCAGCCCAGCCGTGTTTTCAGTTGGCTCACATGCATGTGAGAGGTGGACAATGAACACGGAAGACCACAGAAGAACAGATGCATTGAATTGTGGTGCTGGGGAAGCATAATGAAAGTGGACTGCCAGAAGAACAAACTGGTGTTTTTTGGAAGCAGGAAAGCCAGAATGCCCCTTGGAATCGAAGCTGGCATGACTGTGTCTCACATGCTTTGGACGTGTTATCAGGAGTGACCAGTCCCTGGAGAAGGGCATCATGATTGGTAAAGCAGCAGGGCAGTGGAAAAGAGAAAGGCCCTTGACAAGCTGCATTGACACAGTGACTGCAACAATGGGCTCAGACGGAATCATTGGGAAGATGGAAGGGCCAGGCAGTTTCGTTCTGTTACACACAGGGTCAGGTCGCCATGGGCCCTAACACCAACAGTATGCCCTTTAGGGGACAGTGGTGGTTCAGTGTAGAATTTTCTCCTTCTATTAGAGCAGTCAAGGAGCGCTGGTGACATAGTGGTTATGCATTGGGCTACTAACTGCAAGGTCAGCCAGTTCAAATCCACTGGCTGCTCTGCAGGAGAAAGACTGGATTTTCTACTCCTTTAAACAGTTACCATCTCAGAAAGTCACAGGAGCAGTTCTGTCCTGTCCTCTTGGGTCACTATGAGTGAATATTTTTATTAGAGAAGCCCAGATTTGGTTCCTGGCCAGTGCACCTTATGGGTAACCACTACCTATCTGTCAGTCTTCACTTTGCTGAAAAGATTTCAGCAGAACTTCCTAACTCTGGTGGACCAGGAAGAAAGGCCTGATAATCCACTTCCCAAAATCAGCCAATGATTAACTCTATGGATCACAACCGTCCGATCCTCCTTACATTTGAAGTCACCATGAATTAGGGCCCAATGAACTCGATGGTAGCTAACAACAACAAAATATATCCTTTACTGCTAGAAAATAATATAACTAATTTATGGTAATATGTACTGGCTCCTCATTTCTGTTTCCTTCTGGGGGACACAATAGCAGCTCAGAGAACTATTGGAAAGTAAGTACAGAAAGAGAAGAAATGGTGCTGAAACCAAATCTTCCTTTGCAATGTGTCCTTCTTGACCCTTAGTATTATAATTTGAAGAAAGGGAAGAAAAAGAGGGAGTGATCATGAAATAAATTGTAACCTTCAGATGAATTGTCTACTAAGTAAATAACTTTTTAATTAAATAAATTTTAAAATGTGCGACCTGTGGAAAACTTGCCAGGCTGGTATTTTATTTAGTTTTTATTTATATTAATAAATCATTTTATTGGGGGAATCTTACAGCTCTTATAACAATCCATACATCACTTGTATCCAACTGATGTGTACATATGTTGGATACATATAATTTTATTTAATTTTCAAATCATTTTATTGGGGGCTTGTACAACTCTTATCACAATCCATACATACAACCACTGTGTCAACCACATTTGTACATTTGTTGCCCTTATCATTCTCAAAACATTTGCGTTCTACTTGAGCCCTTGGTATCAGCTCCTCATTTTTTCCCCTCCCTCCCCACTCCCCTCTCCCTCATGAGCCCTTGATAATTTATAAAATTATTATTATTTTGCCATATCTTACACTGTCCAACATCTCCTTTCACCCACTTTTCTGTTGTTTTTTAAGACCACTTTACTGGGGGCTTTTACAGCTCTTATAACAATCCATAGATCAATTGTATCAAGCAGATTTGTATATATGTTGCCATCATTATTGTCTAAACATTTACTTTCTATTTGAGCCCTTGGTATCAGCTCTTCTTTTTTCCCTCCCCCACACCTCCCACCCTTGTGAGCCCTTGATAACATTTAAATTATTTTTACTTTCATGTCTTATACCTACCACTATCTCCCTTCCCCCATGGTTTCTGTTGTTCACCAACCCCCCGCCCCGGGTGTGTGTGCTATGTGTTGAACATTTTTATTGGTTTCCCCTTCCTCCCCTCCTCTTTCCACCTTCTTCCTATATCCTCCTGATATCGCTATTCCCATTTCTGCTCCCGAGGGGTTTATCTGACCTGGATTCTGTGTGTCGTGAGCTGTTATCTGTACCTGTGTACCTGCTCTGGTCTAGCCTGCAGTGAAAGGCAGGACTGGGGTCATGGTGGTGGGAGGTGAGGAAGCCTCAAGGAACCAGAGGAATATTGTGTGTTTCATCGGTTCTATACTGTTCCCTGGTTGACTCATCCCTTCCTTGTGACCCTTCTGTGAGGGGACGTTCCATTGTCTACAGTTGGGTTTTCAGTCTCTGCTCCGGCCCCCCTCATTCTCAACAATATGTTTGTGTTTGTTTGTGGTCTTCTTATGCCTGTTACCCAATCCTGTCGACAACTCATAATTGCACAGGCTGGTGTGCTTCTTCCATGTGGGCTTGTTGATTCTCTGCTGTATGACCACTTGTTTAACTTCAAGCCTTTAATACTCCGGGCACCATCAGCTGTGTTCACCACATTTGCTTGTGCACCCATTTTGTCTTCAGCAATCGTGCCAGGGAGGGTGAGCATCACAGAATGCCAGGTTGTTAGAACAAAGTGTTCTTGCACTGAGGGAGGGTTTGAGCAAAGTCCATCCACTTCCTCAATTTATGGTCATATAAAGATATGAACTTAAGCCAATACCTCTATGTTTATGAATTAATATATTTTATATGTGCACACTTATGTTTATATCTCTATCCATAGCTTTGCTTCCTAGATCTTCCTCTGTTTCCTTTTAAAAGCTGGTATTTTAAATGAGTCAGAAGAAACCAAGAATACTGCTTTTGTCTGAAACTTTCCAAATGCTTCTTTCTCCATGGGCTTAGTAACTGACCTACTCCAGGACACATCTTGGAATCTTAGTAACTATAAGGCTTCACTTTGCCTTAGTTCTGGCATACATGCTTTGGGACTGAGGATGGAGAAGCAGGGAAGGTTAAAGGAGAGAATGGGTAGAATTGCTGGAAGAAAAGAAAATTCATAGAAGATCCACTTACCAGGACCCATCATCCCCTTCATGTTGCTGTCTCCAACGTGAAGGGGTCTGGGCTCTTGAGCTGGAGATAAAGAAAAACGTCTCAGTGTTCATCCCACTAGCATGGGCTGAATCTTCTCAGAGCCAGACACTTGTGAAAGCTCCCAGACTTCATAGTTCAGTGGGGGAGACAGAGCGGTAAACAGAAGAAGAAGAAAACGGCCATATTGACATGTGTGAATGTGGACTTTACCTCGTATGATGACTGTAGAAATTCGGTCAGCTCATCTATGTAAACTAATTAAAATGATTACCACTTTTCTGTCAGTTTGTCTTATGTTGGTGGCTTGCCTGCTCCTGTGATGCTGAAAGCTATGCCATCAGTATTTCCAAAATCACCAGGGTTACCCAAAGAGAGCAGGTTTCAGCAGATCTTACTAACTAAGAATAGACTATGTACAGCGAAGAGCAGAGAAGAAAGCAGATGGTGCTTGATTATCAGTTGTAAGAGTGTCTGGGGTCTTAAAGGCTTGTATTCAAACAAGCAGCCATCTAAGTGAGGCATCAGCTAAGTTCACATCAAGTTACAATACTGAAAGATTCGATGGGCAAAATATTGAATGGTACGGGAGACATCAAAAGAAGATGAAATGAATAGTCACTGCACCCAAAATAATTGGTTGATATACAAGAGATATCATATGATCAAGAGCCAATAGTATTGAAGGAAGAACTCCAAGCTAGATTGAAACCCTGATATAAAATAAGGCTCCAGGAATCGACAGAATACTAATTGAAATGTTTCAAAAAACTGATGCAACACTGAAAACATTCACTTGTGTAGGCCAAGAAAATTTTAAAGACAGCTACCTGCCCAGCCATCTGGAAGAGATCCATATCTATGCCCATTCCAAAGAAAAGTATCCAAACAAAATGCAAAAAAAAAAAAAAATGAAACAATATAGTTAGCATCACATGCAAGCAAAATTTTCCTGAAGTTCATTCAAAAACAGCTGCAGCAATACATCAACAGAAATTCAAGCCAGATTCAGAAGAAGTAGACGAGTGTTATCACTGCCAATGTCAGATGGATCTTGGCTTGAAAGCAGAGAATACCAGAAAGATGTTTACTCCTGTGTCATTGATTATACATTGACTGTGTTATCCAACCTATGAATAACAGAAGAAGGGGAATTTCAGAACAGGTCATTGTGCTTAGCAGAACCTGGACACAGACCAAGAGCAGAACAAGGGAATGGAACAATGCATGGAACAGAACAAGGGAATACTGCATTAAAATCAAGAGAGGTGTAAATCATGAGTCTATCCTTTTACCAGACTTATTCCATCAGAATGTTGAGCAATTGACCCAGAAGAGGGACTGCATGAAGAAGAACACAGCCTTAGGAGAGAAGAAGGCTCATTAACAGCCTGCAGAGATGCAGATGACACAGAATTGCTTGCGAAAAGCGAGGAGGTCTTGAGGAACTTAATGATAACAACCAGACTACATACAGTCTTTCTTCACAACTCAATGACGTAAAGAAAACCCAGATCCTCCCAACTGCACCGAGAGACAACAGCATGATAAGCGGAGGAAAAGTTGAAGTTGTCAAGGGTTTCCTTTTACTTGAATTCACAATCAGTGGCAGTGGAAGCAGCAGTCAGGAAACCCAATTAAAGATTGCATTGGGAAAATCTGCTGCACCAGACATCTTTAAAGTGTTGGAGAGCAATGCTATCACTTGGAGGACTAAGGTGCCCTTGACCTAAACCATAATGTTTTCTTTACTTTGATTAGTACATAAAAGAATGTTAATACATATAACATATCATTCCATATTTCAATCAGGTCAAGTAGAATTGTACAATTGCTACCGCAATCCAATTCCAACTATTCTTTTTCTATATGGATTGCTGTCATCGACTCCCTTTTATCCCACCACAACTGTACCTCTTCCTCTACTTGCTGTCCATAGTGGTTCACCAGTCCTGGGTTCCTTATACTGAACAACAGAAAAGCATATAACACAGCTTCAAGAGGGTGACCTCCATTGACGTAACACCTCTGAGATACACTCTACTATGAATGAACAAAAACACAACAAAGCAATACGAACCAAAAATGCATAAAAGGTTGGAAACCAGATCATGTCTAGCCTGCATCGTAGGGGGGATCTACTGACAAAGTTGTAACTGTTCAGGTGAGATTTATTCCTTTGAACTTCTATACTCCTGTCTCCCAAGCACCCTGTTTAGTGACCACTTTGCTACCATCCCTCAATTTTAGCTAGAGGGAGTTTTCCGGAGGCTTATTTCCTATGCAGTTCCACAAATGAATCTTGGGCTCCCAATCTCATCCATCACCTTCTGCACCCTGTATTCTCACAATTTAGGCTCTGATACTGGTCCTCCTTTGACTTTGGGTTATATGACTTCCAATCCTTCAGTGCCTGATGAGGATGGTGTGCTTCTTCCATATGGACTAAGTTGACATCTCACTTAGAAGGCTGTTTGTTTGGGGACAAACCTTTAAGACCCCAGACACTATTTGATCTGATAGCTGGGCACCATCTAAATTTTTTGCCACATTTTGCCACAGCACTTATATCTTCTGTGTTCCCTTCCTGGGGGTGAGCAGAAACCATAATATTTTCAATTGCCTCATATGCATGTGAAAGTTAGACAATGAACAAGAAAAGCAGAGAGTAATCGATGCACTGGATTTATGGTGTTGGTGAAGAATCTTTAAAGTACTATGGGCTGCCAGAAGAAGCAACAAATCTGGCTTGGAAGAAGTACAGCCAGAACACTCTTTAGAAGCAAGAATGACAAGACTGCACCTCACACACTTTGGACATGTTCTCAGGAGAGACCCGTCCCTGGAAAACAATGTCATGCTTGTTAAAGTGGAGGGTCGCTGAAGAGATGGATTGACACGGTGGCTGCAACCATAGCTCAAACATGAGTAACAATTGTGAGGATGGTGCCGGAGCCTTGGATGTTTTGTCCTGTCGTGCAGAGTGTTGCTGAGTCAGAGTTTGGAGCAAACTCAGGAGCACCTAAGAAAGACAGTAGCACTTAAATGGTCCTTGCCACACAAAGCCAACAAAAACAAAGTAAATGAAAACCTGCTGCTGTTCAGGTGATTCCAAGTCATCGTGACTGGATGGATGGAGTACAACTATTTCGTAGGGTTTCCAAGGCTGCAAGTATTCAGGGAACCAGAAAGCCTCATCTTGCTACCTCAGAGGGGTGAGCTTAAACCACCTTTTAGTTAGCAGGCCCACCTTTCATCCCTGGTGCCATCAGGGAGCCTTCCTGACACACCAAAATGCTAAGTTACTATTTTACTCTCGGAGTGTTTGTCATGATGGCGATGGTAGAAATGATAACAATCAGATATGATCCGAATAACATCCAAGTTAGACTATCACTTCTCTGGGTGGAGGTAGGGACTTCCTGTGGGACAGTGAGCATCATCAGACAGCCTGAGCATCATCAGACTCTTTTTACGGCTGTTCCTGGGGTCTTGTTTATCCTGGCAAGAGGATGAATACATTCTCCAACCCGGGATTGCATGAATTACCTCTTCTTTTCCTATTTAAATCCTGCATGGCCTTTCCAAGGTGAAGTTTCTAAAACTTAAGGCTCAGCAGTGCGGTGGATTACATGGTGGTTCTCAGAAAGTATGACCAGGTCCTATCCCCATACCTGGTTCAAAGTGGGTTATACTTGGACTGCTAACGGAAAGATCAGAAGTTCTAACTGACCAGCTTCTCTACAGTCAAAAGATGAGGCAGTTTGCTTCTATAAAGATTACAGTCTTGGAAACCCTATAGATCAGTTGCTCTTTGCCTTATGGGGGATGCTATGAGTCAGCATTGACTGAGTGTCAGTGTATAGGCTAATCTCTGGATTCTGTGAATGTGACTTTATTTGGGAAAAGGACCTTTGAAAATGTCATGAAGTTAAGGATTTCCAGATGAAATTATCTTGAATGACCCAGCGGAACCCTCAAACCCAATGACAAGTATCCTTATAAGAGACAGAAGAGAAGGCCATGTGAAGACCAAGGAAGAGACTTAAGTTGTGCAGCCACAGGCCAAGGAATGTTTCAAGACACCAGGGACCGAAAGAGGCAAGGCCAGGTTCCCTCCTAGAGCATTCACAGGGACACAAGCTCCTTAAGTATGAGAGGGCCTTGCCAACACTGTGGTTTCAGACTTCTGGCCTCCAAATGTGTGAGAGAAGAAATGATGGTGGTTTCAAACCAAGTTAGTAGTCATTTGTTATGGCGCTCATAGGAACTAACATACCACTTTATCCTTAACACTGGATAAGATAGCACTTTCTGAAAGTTTGGCACTGTGAACCATAAGTTTTAAAATACACTACTAACAATCCTATCCAGAATGTCTCATATCCACACCTTATTCCCCAAATTCCTGCAACAACTCAGTAGACGAGCGGTGACCAAACGAAACAGCTCATTGGTCACAAACAGCTCACTGAAATCCATTTGGCCTCTGGAGTCATCTAGGTCAGTGTATTCAATGGAGTTGACACGTCTTGTGATGATTCCCCTCCCCAAGGGTTAAAGATGTAAAGATTCTGGTACCAACAAATGTGCTGGTCTGCTTCACAATTGCCATCATTTTTAATCCTTTTGCTTTTGAATGTGTCTAGCTGTCATTGAGCAGTTGTCACTCTCCAAGCCCATGCTGGCCTCTTCTCCAACACGCTCCTCTTTCCTGGCTTGCTCCCCCTGCCATGGGTCTGAGAAAACTCAGCTGTCTTCAACGAGCCCTCTGCCCAAATGGATCATTCACTCGGCTGTGGCCCTCAGCCTCCAAATTAACTCCTCAAATGAACAAAACACTAAAGCTAAGGAGCAAATCTGTACTTTAAAGGTAGGGCAATAAAAAGCCATTTGGTTTATATTTCTCATTTAGTTGTTCCAAACACATCTAGTGCCGATGAATATGTGAAGCAAATGAGAAGCTTACAATTGAGTGTAGCCTCAAGGAGCCTCTATGTTGCCCGAGATAAACAAAAAGCAGGAAAATTCATCTAAATAACTTAATAGCCATTTGTTCTCCTGTGCATACAGTGGTATTGCTTGACGTTTTTGAGGGGATACAGAAAGGTAGCAATGATTTGCTTGGCTTTGTTTTTTTAAATTGAGTGGATCCCAGGTCACCGAGCCCCAAACAGCCCTCAGAAAGTCAGTTGCTTCCACATTGCCAGTAGGCTGTTCGATAGGATCTGTATTCTCAGATAAGGGAGTGACTAATGAATGTTTCAGCCCGCAGAGAGCAGCAGCTCTGCTTTTCCAGAGAGTAGAAGGCTAGAGAGTGAAGCAAGGAAATCAGAGCACACAATCGTTTATCTAAAAGAAAAAATCAGAACATACAATCTTATCTATACTAAGGATACAGCTGTGGAAAATGGGTGCTCAGAGGGATGCAGTGAGAAGGATTATGGGAAATGCAAGCCATTTATTTGAGTGAATCATTGACCTTTTTCCTCAGATGGTTGGTATAGAGCTAACTGTAATACGTGAGTATTAATTTATTTGCATTTTGAAAATGTCTAGATTGGTATAAAAGAAATGAGGGCAGGGAAGAGGGAGGGCAGAAGGAAAGAATGGAAGGAAGAAAGCGTTTAAAAATCGGACAGACTCTCCTGGTCTATTAGATCCTCTGAATGCTATTTTCCAGATACCAGAGGGAAAATCTGGGTAATATACCATTTCCCATTCTTACTGTTACTCAAGCTTCAAGAACTGAGGAGGAAATGCTTGGCTAATTCACTATTATTTGTGAAGCAAACCATACCTTTGTCATAGGCCTGCGAAGGTAAAAGGTTTGTGTAGTCCTCGCTTGGAAGCACAGGTTCCGGGATATTGATGGATCGGAAAGGACTGCCTTGTGTTTGCGCAGGTCCGGGCTGGGGCGCATGCTCATCTTTTTGAGCTTTCCTGAAGAAGGGAAACAAAGACAGGACCAGTGAGGGTCTCAGAACTTTTATGGGTTCGGAGGAGGTTCTGTTCAGAACAACTCAAAAGAACACTCCTTTGAAATGATTACTATTTCTGTACATTCAAAATTACCCAACAGAAACAATCCATATGGTCCAATAGAATCTTTCACCTATTCTGGGAGAAAAACAAATGTTCATACCCAGACAGTACAGTTCATGGACAAACAGAATTAAAGATAATGGAATTTTCCATGACTTTTTTTGTTTGTTTGTTTTTGTTGTTGTTTTTTTTAACATTTTATTAGGGGCTCATACAACTGTTATCCCAATCCATACACACATCAATTGTGTAAAGTGCATTTGTACATCGTTTCTCAAAACATTTTCTCTCCATTTAAACCCCCGACACTAGGTCCTCATTTTCCCCTCCCTCCCCGCTCCCTCCTCCCGCATGAGCCCTTGATAGTTTATAAATGGGTATTTTGTCATATCTTTCCCCGTCCGACGTCCCCCCTCATCCACCCCTCGGCTGTCTGTCCCCCAGGGAGGAGGCCACACACAGCTCCATGTAATCGGTTCCCTCTTCCCTACCCATTCTCCCTTTACCCTCCCCATTTTGCCACTCACACCACTGGTCCTATAGGGCTCATCCATCCTGGATTCCCTGTATTTTCAGTCTAGCCAGTCTTGCAAGATAGAATTCGAGTCATGGTAGTGGGAGCGGGGAGGAAACCTTTAGGAACTAGAGGAAGGTTGTATTTCTCATCATTGTTACATCGCACCGTGACTGGCTCATCTCCTCCCCTAGACCCCTCTGCAAGGGGATCTCCAGTGGCCTACTAATGGGCTTTGGGTCTCCATTCCGCACTCCCCATCCATGACATTTTTTAATTCCTCTGGTATTCTGCCCATATTTCAAGTTTTATCATATTAAAGCATATTAAAGATTATGTGATTTTAATAGTGAAACTACTTGATTCCATTTGGGGATTTATTTTCAATTACAGAAAATTACAGAAGTAAAATACTAGTAGCATGAGAAACATTTTAGAAAACAAATAAAAGAAAACCCACCTCTACTGGTGGTCCCACTATCTTGAACCAATAATCGTTCTTTTAAATACATCTTTCTAGTTGCTATTTAAGGAGCCCTGATGGTGTATTAGATTGCATGTTGGGCTGCTAACTACAGGGTCAGCACTTTGAACCCACAAGCCACTCCCAGGGAGGAAGATGAGGCTTTCTGTTCTTGTAAAGATTCATAACATCAGAAATCCTATAAAGGGTTGCTATGAATTGGAATTGACTTGACAATAGTGAATCTTGGAGGCATTATATGTTTTTACAACTGTACTTAATGTACCATTTTATATCATTGAATTTCAATTTAATTAGTAAATGAATGTTATCAAATAATTGCCATTTAATTTGCCACCTTTTGTGGCTCTGTAGCCTCCCTCCTGGAGCACTGAGGCAGTTAGTTACATTCCAGTGGTGGTGAAGTTGTTCTCTACACCCTCAGGGTAAGCTGTTGTCTAGAAGTTTGCCCCTGGTGAACTTTTTGGGTCAGATACTCACTTGGCTTTAACTTTTCGAGATTCTCTTCGTTTCTCCTGTTGAAGCTGTTCAATTTTCTGCTGCATTTCTTCTTGTTTTGAAGTGATGGCCTGGATCATTGACATAGCATTGCTCAGTTCTTCCTAAAAATTAAGAATAGGCATATGCATTTAAACAAATACATGGAGTAAAAGCACATAGCATAAAGTTTGGTACACAGTAGACTTTCAATACATAGCCCAGTGGTTCTCAACCTGTGGGTCGCGACCCCTTTGGGGGTCGAACGACCCTTTCACAGGGATCCCCGATTCATAACAGTAGCAAAATTACCGTTATGAAGTAGCAGCGAAAGTAATTTTATAGATGGGGGGGGTCACCACAACATGAGGAACTGTATTAAAGGGTCACGGCATTATGAAGGTTGAGAACCGCTGGAATAAACGAATGAATGGATGAGAGATAGCTACTTCAATTGTGGCTTCTAATTTGAACACCAAACCA